GATCAACGCTAAAATCTTTAACCTTAATGAAGGTATACTAATATCAATGAAGAAATTACGTTGCAGAATGTTTCTATATAACTTTTTACAAATGAAACAGTAAATAGAAATTGTTTTAATACTTTGCGAAACTAAAATTATAATCAATCTGAACGATTTTCTAGCCATCTTTAGCTGATGGTATGGACACGAATTCCAAGCTTACAAGTAAGAAATGGATAATATATGATTAACGCTTGAGAATATTGATGCTAGTCAAACAAATACCGGTATCTTTTCAATTTTAAAAGATTATTAATTTCGTTTTACAGAACACAGCTACATTTTATGTCATTTTTGAACAAATAACGATTATTCTCTAAACTAAAATATTCCTTTATAATCATCCGTTTTCAGTTGTCTTATCTTGCTATCGCTATTTTACAATTTTCTGCAAATGATTTGTTTATTTTTAAACATGACCTTCTGCAATCACTTGAATTTTGATCGTTACAAGTACTACCAAAGCGTAAAATGCCAAATTCTGCTCAGTAAAATGTGTTTTGTAACAGTCTTCTTTGAATTAAAGTATATTTTTCAATAAGTTCTCACACTCTGTATTTTTAAAGAGAATAGCTTGCAGTTAGTACAGAAACATTGAGTTAAGTAAATCGCACTATATTAGAATCATTCAAGCCAAAAGAGTACATACTTTTAACGTTTAACGATGTTATAGTACTTTATAGAAATGTTGAGCGCTTGCATGCATAGTAGCGAATGAGATTATACTTTGGTTTCTTTAATGGCTGATGATACTGTATCTTTGTAATGTCGATTCAACTCTAGAACAAGAATCAGACGAAACTGAGAAATTCAATGCTAGTTGTGCATCCACAATTCGATTTAAAGTCTCTGCCGATTCTAATGAAACTGTTGAGATAGAAATGGACGAACCGAATTCTTGTAAGTTGTACTGTGGCTAACATTCTTTTACTATTTTAAGTGATAATACAGTAAAATCTATCGCATACTACAATAGCAGCGACTTACCTGATTTGTAAGATGAAGTCATTTAATATGATTTGTATAGCAAGCACTTTCAACAATTTCAACTTAGAAAGAGGAATATTCTTGATTTAGTATAGAGAGAATCGTTCACTCTTGCTACATTCGATTTTCTATTAACTGTTTAATATGATGTACCGCAAGTAGCCGCTGATCCTATTTTGCAAATAAAATAAAATTATTGTAGCAGCCAAGGAGTATAACGGCAAAATCGTAAAAGATATTGGAACGAAGTGGAAAACTTTGGCAAGAGCATTTAGAATTGATCAGCGCGACATCAATAAAATACAGCTGAAAATAATGGATCAGTTGACGATCAATGTGCGGAAATGTTGAGTATGTATGCGAATAGGAAAGGTCAGAGTTACACAAAGAGAACACTAGTTGAAGTACTCTTTAAAAGCGGGCTGCGCTCTGTAGCTGAAGATCATTGTATGTGTAAAGTTGTTTCTACATATAAAAATTTAAAAAGGAAAGCCAATGCGTAAAAGAAGATG